GGGGGGGGGGGGGGGGGGGGATGGAAGAATGTAGGTGAGTCCTTTGAAGGATGGGATAGCCCGCTGTCAGATTGCCTAACAGGTTGTAAGCACAGACCTCTCTCTCCTCTCCTCCACACCTTTTGGTCACAAGTACCTCACTCTTTCAAAAGATTGTTAGATGCATGTTCAGAAATAGCCCAATTGACAGTTCACAGGCACAGAGGGTGACTCAAGCAGAGCATCCCTCCTGCTTCACCGTACACCTCTCCTCTGTGCTGGTCAATTGGACTAACAGGTGCAGAGGAGGAGCACAGAGTGGAGTACAAGGAAGTTATCGATAATGAGCAAGTTTGTCTTTGATTCTCTTGCAAAGGAATTGCAAAGCTGACAGTGAGTGGCTACCATGGGGTGAAGCAGACAAAGTAGCGTAGGAGTACACATAACAACAATTTAACAAAAACAGTAAGAAACATGCTCGTGTCAAACTCCTTGTTGGCAGAACCAGTGGAAGACCTTTAATGCATTTATTGGTGACAGAAATGTCCTTGATCATGTCCAAGGCAAAAACTGGGTTGGTAGAAGGAAGAAAATACTGCATTAAACTGGAAAAGGTTGAGTTGACTTATCAATGGCATGAGGACATGTCATTTCAACATATTTAGTGAGGCTTGTTCATCCCATGATTAGGGGATGTGAGAATGAGCCCTAATGAGTTCAATGTTGTTTGAACATTAAGAGAAACTATTTAACTGTAAGAACACTTTAAACAGGTAAATTAATAGGTGGCTATATTGTGAAGGATTGAGGATGCCCTACATTTCTTGTGCTGAGTAGAGTATTGTTCAGTGCTCTGGGTTCTTATGAACTTTCAAATAATAGTTGATAGAGCACACAAGCCTGTTTGGATTCTACTCCTGTACAAAGTTTCCACCTCTGCATACCCATAAACTCATAATAGGCAAAGCAGAACTGATTTAAGTACTCTTAAGTATGCTTAATGTTGCTTAATCTAATTAGAGGTTTATTGGATCAGATCAAGATTAATACATTGTTCTTGCAACCACCTTCTGCAATGTGTTCCTTGGGATAATTGTCAGTATCTCATCAGTAATTTATGCTCAGCTTTTTTTTTTTTTTTTTAAACAAGGTGGATCTCATATATTATACTGGTGAGAAATGGACTGGGTGTTTGATGGGCAGCAAGTGAAACATAGACTTGGGAAGATATTGAGGAATGCTTTTAATGATCAGTGGCAATGCTTATGCAGACTTCCTACAAAGTTTTGATCAAAGCTGGACTGTTTTAAAAAATAAAGAATGAAATTCTTCAGAACATTTTGGATGGTTTTATTGATTAATTTATTATTTTAATTTCTCAACCAACTAAATTAATCTTATGATTTTTCATTTTTGCTTGCCAATTATTCCTTAATTTTCTAAATGAACATATCATACTGGTAATTATTTTCAAAAGACTACACTGGAAGTTGTTTTTTCTTCAGTAAATGTTTCTTTTATGTCCATTTGGTAAATCTGCATTTTAGGCTTTCAATTGGTCTGATTCTAGAATTTCATACCAAATTCAGAGAATTCTTGTACTTGTCAATACTTGAACACTGATTTTTCAAATTATAACCAAACCACCATCACTGCTGATTTGTATTCAGTTTGCAATCGTCTATTATTCCAAGATCTTTTTCACAAATACCAAGCAGGGTCCTCCAATCTATACCTCTGAATTGATTATTGTTTCCTAAATGAAGATTTTTGCAATTGTCTCTGTTACATTTCATTCTGTTAATTTCAGCCCATTTCTCTAACCCATCAAGGTCAGTCTGAATTTCACTCTGTCTCCTAAGTATTGGATTTCCTACTCAATTTTTTGCCAACTGCAAATTTGATAAGGATTTCTTCCATCACTCTATCCAAGTTACTAAAAAAAAATGTTGAAGAGCAGAGGACCCAAAACTGCACCTTCTGGTACTCTGCTAGATACCTTTTTCTAGTCTGAGAGTCATTAATGAACACTCTTTGATTGCTTAATACTAATGACATGGCAGCTTTCCATATTTTGAAACAACATTCAAAGTAATGTGTAAGTCCTAAAATAGCCATATCACAATTAAAACAAGAAACATCTGAAATACTGTACCTCTTCAAAACCACTCTTTCCTGCTTGTATGATGCACTCCCATATACTGTACTTTGTAGCACTCATCGCCCTCCCCCCCCCCAATTGTCAAGCGTGTCTTTTGGCCATCAGAAGATTGTCCCCATCCACCACCACCCCACCCTGCTTTGAATCATTTGCCCTGTCCCAGTCATCAAGTACAGCACATCACCAGTTCTTCAGGATCCCTCAAAAGTTATACATAAAGTTTCAGAAAATTCATCCACAACTTCCTTCAGCATCCTAGGATGCAATTTATCAGCTCCTAGAAATTTAAATCATTCAAAGTAAGGAGATAATCTCTGATCATGCTTCTTCTATCTCATAGTTTAGCCCTATCCTGCTCTTCATACTGTAATTTCCTGGTGGAACACATACTTTTTTGCTGGAGAACCAAAATAATTAAGTAGCTCCACCTTTTCTTTGTTACCTATTAGCATGTTGCTATCTTCATTGAACGGCTTGTATACCTAGCTTTTTATCTTGTATTTACTTTGAATATATCTGAATATGCCCTTTTCATTTTGAGCACCCTTCACTTACCTCTGTTTATTTTGAACTTTATCTTTCCTGACATGCAATAAGGAATTCTAATGAAAGGTTCTAGAAGAGCTTCCAAATTTGGGAAATCTAGAGTTATATTCAAAAATTATTGTATTTGTAATAAGTAGGCAGACCCCATTCCACATTTGAATGGAGGTGGTTCTTTTCCAATGGAAGCAAGCACTTGATTCCTTTGATCCAAGCTCAGCCAGATACGAGTTTTCTTGGCAGCAATAAAATACATAGTTTGCCATTCCCTTCTTCCAGAATGTTTTACTTCCTAATCCACCCTCCAGCCCTGGGATTTTCTGGTGGTCTCCCATCCAAGTTATTACCAGGTCCAACTTCACTTAGCTTTTTAGAGATTAGACAAGGTGAGGAAAATGCTGCCATCTGCTGTAAAGCTAACATACAATTCATATTATGTCTAATGCAGAATATTTGCATACTATTAGAATTAATGCTCTATGAAATATATCTACAGTAGGACTATGTGGAAAGGAAGATGTCTTAGATATCACTGACAGAGAGGGTTTCAAACTCAAAATGATTTACTGTTGCAAAACCAACTTTTAGTCTGAGTTCTACTCCCCAGAAATACATGCAGCATGATCAATGAACTTATTCTGTTAAATGATTTTTTAAAAATAGTGTTTCTCTGTTAGAAAGTGTTGATAATTTTGCTTTATGGGCATCATTTTTCAAATGCTTCTAACCCTAGAATCAGATACTCTTTCGGTCTGTTTCAAATTTATTTTACTACAAAAAAGCCAGCAACTGACCCAGACTAACCACTTACTATTAAACAGGACATATTTTCAAGTGGTTCTTTATAAAATATTATATACCAGTCCACTATATATAATCACAAAGGACTTCAGAGCTATAATAGCAAAATATGTGAGCCAGAAAGTTCAGCACCAACCATGAGAACTCTTTCCTTTCCTTTAGCAGGGGACATTCAATCTGCCAAGTTCTTAAAAGAATTTCAAGAGCTGACAATTTCTCCACTCAGTTGCATCTAAAGTATTCGTTCTTTTTCAAACTTTGGCAATAATTCAGGAAGGGTATATGCTCAACATATGATAATACATTCTGTGTGAATGGGCAATTTTTTTGGCCAGAATAATGGAATTAATTGCTAAAAAGGTTATGACAGAAGGTTATGACAGAAGGTCTAGCTTGAGCTTCTCTGTGCATCCATCCACTTTGGGAAGGGACGTTTCATGTGGACACCAGTTCCAACCCCTTCTTCACAACAAGAATAGAAAACTCTCAAGTAGATAAATGTATGTGTGTACATGGCTCTACTGTCAGTATGTATATCTTATGCATGTGTGTGTGTGTGTGTGTGCTTTGCCATAAACCTATGAAAAATGAAAGAAATATAGCCATAAACACCAAGATACATCAGCAAAGCAGCCAAATTATGTTTATATTTTCCCAAAAGGAACAAAATCAATAATATCTTAGCTCATGAGAGTTTTGCATTAATCCGACTAGTTCTTAAACTTAGGTTTCTCTTTTCCTTTATTTTTCATATGCAAAGAAAATATTTTGGCATGTTAATTAATGGCAGTAGATGACCTACATTTCTCTGATAATAATGGATTACTTAGATTTTCCCTTAAAGCACTGCAGAGACTGCAAAGACTTTTCCTGGTTTAGCAGGGTGGTCAGAATGGCAACCATTTCATAGTAGAGATCTTGCAGCCTGAAATTAAACATATCCAGTCATCATATCAGTATTGAAAGGCAAAAAGACCAAGTTCATTCATTATCAGGGCAACAAAGAAACTACTCCACTCAATGCTCTTTGATGAAGTTCTATTTTCAATATGCAGCAAATGCTTTGGACACTGAGAGTCATTTGGCTATGCCATCTCTAAACCCATCCCTTAGCAACAATCCTGGGGTAACTATTTCAGATGCTTTAAAAAAGAAACATTTTCTATTTGGTCTCAGGATTGAGGGCTATCAAGCATTTGATCATTGCTGAATGCTAAGCGCATGTGAATAGGGTCTAATTCTCAGGTTCATTCTAAGAAAAGGTACACACTTGTATATGGTGGCATCCTGACGATCAAGGGATGTCAAATAGAGGTCAATGAATGGCAGGCTGGCACAGAAATCTTCCAAGAGCATAGGATCTGAATGAAGGAGGGTTTTTTTAAAGCTTTCCGCCATTTCAGCAAAAGTTTTGTACTCAGATGATTTCTAGGGTGAAAAGAGAGGTATGAAGGTTAATTACCAGAATTCACTCAGAAGCCTGGTTTGGTTTCATAGAACTAATGACTGTGTCAGGTTGCTTATTCAAATAGCAGAGAACCAGCACTGGAAAGCATGGGGTGGGAGGTCAGATTTAGAAATTTCCCTCATGAATCACCCCTTTAAAATTTGCAAATTTTGTCCAGTCTCAATATTTAATGATGGGGGTCCCCTCATATCATGCTATGCTATCTTAACATGGAGGGGAGGGGTGTTCCTTGGTGGGGATGAGTGAAGAACACTGGGAATATAAATCAAGAATCTGTATCACAGCAGGGTCACCCAAGGCGTGAAGGTCATCCCAGCTGCCCAGTTAAAGCTAATAGGCACCTACAGTATATTGGGCAGCAGTGATATAGAAAGATGATGGAGGTGGATGATCTTTTAAGTGACAACGGCAAAAACATCATTTAATATGGTGGGGAGGGGAGAGAGAGAAGGCAATGGTACACCATTCCTGTATTTTACCAAGAAAACCACATCAACAAAGTGATTGACAAGATAATGCCAGATGATGGGCCCCCTCAGATCAGATGGCACTCAATATGATATTGAAGAAGAACTGAGGAACTTTCAGAGTAGTAATGTTCTTTATGATGTGGCTAGATTAAAGCTTTTGAGATGCCTGGTTGCTGATGTTTCCATGAGGAAAAGAAAATCCAAAGCTGCGAAGACAGAATTTCAATGGGAACATGGAACATAAGATGCATGAACATGAGAAAGCTCAGTACAGTGAAAAATGAAATGAATTGACTACACATTGACATCTTAGGCATCATTAAATTGAAATGGGCTGGAATGGGACACTTTCTGTCAGAAGATCATACTCTTTACTACTCAGGACATGAAAAACAAGACAGAATGGTTTTGTTTCCATAGTCGGGAAGTATATAGCAAGGACAGTACTTGGATGCAATGTAGTCAATGACTGAATAGTATCAATCAGACTGTGGACAACCCTTAAATATGATGACTATTCAGCTTTATGCTCCAACTATTGATGCAGAAAAAGAGGAGGTTGATAAGTGTTATGATCAATTTCAATTTGAAATCGACAGAACATGCAAGCAAGATGTGCTGCTTGTGGTTCCAAGACTGGAATGCCAAAGTTGCAAGTATTAGGGGAGGAAAACATATTTGGACCGTACAGCTTACAAAATCAAAATGAAGCTAGAGAGCACCTTATCAATTTCTGCCAATCCAATTATTTCTTCTAATGCAGTCTTCCAATAACAAAACAATGCCTCTCTATATACTACTAAAACTCTCATTATGTTTATCTGTTTGTCTGTACTCTCAAGTTAACCCAAATGGTGCATTATACCACAATGATTTTTGAAACAAGGTACCTAAAATCTGCTAACTTAAAGAATGCATAAAAAAATTCAGGACCCGTTACTCCTGTGGAATTGAAATTTCTACGATGTTCAGACCACTTTTATTCACAAAGTTGCAGCCATTGCAGCATCCCCACAGTCACGTGATCATGATTTCCGACGCTCCCTGCCAGCTTCCCACAAGCAAAGTCAATGGGGAAGCCGTCAGGAAGTCGGAAGTTGCTCCCGCTCCCACTGCTTTTTTGCCCACCTGTGGTCATTCTGTTTATCTGTTTAGGTAAGTAAATATTGACTTATTATTGAAATTTGTTTGGCACTACAATTGTTTTTCTATTTATGATATATGCTCTTCTTAGATGATCACAGGACCATCCAGCATTGGGGTAAAAAATATATATGATCAGCCTAAAATTTCATGTTCATTCTGGTCACATCAGATTGGACTACCTTTCTCTCAAAGGATGACCCAATGGATCACAGGGTTGTCTAGCATACATTAACATCACTAGACAGAGTACACAGAAATCAAAAATGACTACATTATTGTATAAGAAAGTGGAAGAGTTCCATTATAACAGCAAAGACATGAGCAGGGGCTGACTATAGAACATACAGTTTCATGAACTATTTATGTCTTAGTTCCAAGTCAAGCTAGCACAGAAGAAGAAAGCCAACCAGTTTCCACAATATATTCATGAGCATATACCCACCATTTTCAAGGAGAACATCAGGAATCATTTTAAAATTCTGAATCTTATTGACAGAGAACTAGAGGAACCATGGAATGAAATCAAAAAGTTATTAAAGATGAATGTGAGAAGAAACTGCTAAAGACCAAGGTATAGAAGAAAACAAATTGCATGTCAGAATGGTGGAAACTGCCAAGTGGAGAAGAGAAGCCAAAGCCAAGAAAGACAAAGATCTCAGGAAGAACTTAACAAAGAATTTCAGAAAACTGCTAAAAGAAACAAGAACCTGTATTATAGCAACATATGTGAAGATATAAAAGATGGGAACAGACATGGAAAAACAAGAAAGGCCTTCCAAAAGTTTTCCAAACTCAGAAGCAAAGTTGGATTGGAAGATGAGTGTGGTTTTAAAATTGGAAGAAGAAACATCAACAACCTGCATTATTTTGATGACACCAGTCTGATAGCTTAAAAACAAATGATCTGGAAATGAGCAAGTGAAAAAATTAGACTTAAGATTAAATATAAAGAAGACCAAACTAACAGTAGATACAACAACCAGCCTTAGAACTGACAATGATTATACTGAAGTGATGTATAGCTTCTGCTTTTTAGGCTCAACTATCAACAGTGAAGGAACCAAAAGTCAAGAGATATACCATAGAGTAGCACTTGGTAGAGTAGCAATGAAGGCCTTAGAAAAGATATTCAGATGCCATGATGTGTCTATACCTACAAAGATCAGAATCATGCAGGTAATGGTTTTCCCTGTGACACTCTATGGAAGTTAAAGTTGGACTTTGAAGAAGCAGGATAGGAAGAGCATTGATAATTTTGAACATTGGTGTTGGAGAAGATCCCTGAATGTACTATGGATAGCCAAGAAAACAAAATGTTAAGTGGATCATATAACAAATCAATCCAGAGATCTTACAGGCCTCTCATGAGGCTCAGATTATCATATTTTGGACAGATGCAGACCTAGCTCTCTTGAGAAGTCTATAATGCTGGGAAAGGTGGAAGTAAATAGAAGACGACCAGCAGCAAGGTGGATGGACTCAATTAGAGTGGGAATGGATGTGTTGTTGGAAGACCTGAAGAACAAGGTTTGGGACAGATCATCGTGGAGAATATCTATTTGAGTGGTCACTCAGAATCAACACTATAAATTTTATAGTTGAAACTTCAAAAAAAAGGTACAGTTGACCAATGATGTCATGGTTGTCCCAGGGTTGGCATTATGTCCCAGACAACAGAGAATAGCCATAGCCAAGGATAAGGGAGCAAACTGAACAGTTTAACAGCTCATTTACACAGCCTCATTAACATGTGCTAGAGGGTGTGCTGATACAAAAACTGCTGCCCTTTCAATTTATTGAATAGATTATAAGCCAGTCAAGTCTGCACTGGATAACTTCTCCAATCACAGATTTTAGGCTTCTTTAGCCATCTGTCTTGGGAGAAAACGAACACTGAGAATTCCTTACTCATTTGAACTCTTACGACAAACAGGAGTTCTGATGAAAGTTGGCACTTAAAGGTATGAAGAAGATGTCATTATTTGAGGGACCGCCTCACCCCAATTACATCCACCCATCCCATCAGGTCCAGCAGGAGGGGCATGTTTAGGATTCCATCAGCCAAGGAGCTTTGTTTGGTGGGGCCCAGGAGGAAAGCCTTTTCTGCTGTGGTACCCACCCTTTGGAACATCATTCCCCTGAGGTGAGGTTGGATCCAATCCTGTTGGCCTTCCAGAAGGCCCTCAAAACTTGGTTTTGCCATTGGGCCTGGGGATCCCATGGAAGCATGGAGTCCATTAAATGGTTGGTATAAGTTGATTGCACTCTTCACTGTCTTTTTGTTATTATAGGGTTTTTTTATTGATTTTAACCATTTTATGTGAAGTAAGGCAACCTTCAGAACAGGAAACTGGAATAAGAGATCTGGATTTGGATGGAG